TATTGCCTCAATGTGCATCCACTTAGCTATAAATGTCTCTAATTTCTCATTTTTTATGGCTGAGTAGTACTCCATTTTATAAAAAACCACATTTTCTTTATCCAGTCTCCAGTTGATGGGCATTTGGGCTGTTTCCAAGTTTTAGCTATTACAAACTGTAGCGCGTCCATTTCTGATCAAGTGTTTATTCCTACCCCTGCTCGGAAACATAACTGTGAACAGATAACTCAAAGTAAGGGGTACACAGAGGTAGAGAGCTGAACCGACTCCAACTGCACCACCGGCCACCGCGCGGCCAGGGAAGGCGGCCTCTCCAGGAGGGACAGCAGCTCCCCCACAGGAAGCGCTGTTTAAATCGGGAACTGAAGGCTCAGTCGTGACTAGCTCTTCGAGAAGATCCCAGGGCAGAGCTCCTCCCTAGGGCAGGACCTCGCTGGCTCGGCTGGAAGCTGCCCGGGACCCTTGGCGTCTATCCGTGCAGCTTTGTGGAGGAGGCCAGTGAAGGAGGTTGGGCCTGCCGGCGAGGCACCAGCCGCAGCCTCGAGACACCTCAGGGACGTTTAGGTCTACTGAGTTTCCACGCGCGCTCCTGCAGTTCCTGAGTTAATTCCCTGCGTCTGTTCTTCCTCCTGTCCATAAGGTCCCTCTCCGATCACCCACTGATCCCCACGCTCACTCACGCTCGTGTCCTGCCAGTTCTGCCTTGTCACCACCGTGCGCCAGGTCGGGTCCTGGCCACCGTGGACGCGCAGGCGCTCCCGTCCTGCTCAGATGGCTGCGCGTCCCAGGGGCCTCCCGCCACCCTGGGCCGGGCCTGACCTCCCTTGATTCGAACTCTTCCTGCCTGGCTCGACGCAGGGCCCCTCCACACTGCCGGCCGGCCTGGCTCAGAAGCAAGAGCGTTTCGACGGGGCGCTGCGGGGACCCCGGGGTGACTGCCACGGACGCAGGCCCTGCTGTGCAGGCCCGGGGCGTCCAGAAAGGAAGCTGGGGCTGGGCAGGAAGCCGGCCGGTCCTGCAGCCGCGCTTCCAGCTAGGAGGACCCGGGCGCGCGGGGAGGGGAAGCGCCCAGGCCTTGGCTGGGGCGCCCTGGGTCCTCCGGATAGAGCCGGTGGACAAGACAGTCCGGGAACGCGGCGAACCCCAGCCTCACTCTTCACCAAGAGCCTTCGCCTCTCCTTTTCGCTCCCCGTTTCCCTTCCACCCTTTCCTGCGTCCAGTAGTTCTCGGGATCCTGGCAAGGCCAGGCGGCGAGCACGCGGCCAGGGGAGTTTTGTCGCTTCCGGCTTTGCGCACTGATGTCGCCGGCGGTGGCCGGCGGGGCGGGCAGCACGGAGGAAGGGGGGACTCTGAATCCGAGATTCGCAGCGGGTCACGCCTCATCACCCCTCCTCGCTCCCCGCGCACCCCAGAACCGGAGTTCTCGACCTCGGTGTTTGGTGACGAGGCAGATGACAAGCGTGTCTGAAAGGCAAATAGAAACGCCCACAGCTCCGTTTCCAGGTGGCATTTTTAAAAGGGAAATTTGTGAGTAGTTAGTGGAAATTCACCAGTCTGAACACGGATCGGTTAAACAGCAAACGACTCTCAGTCTCTCGGAGAAAAAAGAAAGACGGTTGCAGTACCGTGGCTTGGTGGCTAGTTCGCATCTTGCCTTTCACGTCAGCGAAGGAACAAAAGCTACGCGGCCCTGCCCCCTCTGAGGTTCGAACTCAGGACCTTCAGATTATGAGACTGACGCGCTGCCTACTGCGCTAAGGAGGCGTTAGCGCTTTGTAGATCGAGCCACCTGTCCACGGTGCCTCAGCCTCGGGTTTCTGAATGAGGCGGAACCGAGTTTGAACCCGAGCCGGCCGCGCAGACCCGCTCACTGCGGAGTCCCAGGCTCGCCTGGAGCTGGTCCGCGCCACCCTCGTCCTGCGCCGCAGACGCCGCCAGCGCCGCGGGGAGCGCACGACTCGGGGGAAGCGGAGTCAGCAAGACTACTCACAGGCGGTAGCGTGGCCGAGCGGTCTAAGGCGCTGGATTAAGGCTCCAGTCTCCTCGGAGGCGTGGGTTCGAATCCCACCGCTGCCAAAGCTTTTTCCCCCTCCGTCTGTCGTTTTTGTAGGTGGTAATTGTACTGTGTTCTCGGGCCCTAGGTCCACCAGGTTCCTCCCTTCCTCTACCTGGGGTCCACCGCAGGATCTCCAAAGCGGCGTAAAACACGTGGCAGGCCCTCCACCCCTGGAATCCGCAGGCGACCGACGAGCCCCGGGCTTCCCTTCTCACCCAGGCTTCCGCTGCACCGGCTCCCTCATCTTAACACTATTCAGCACCCAGGGCGCGCCCGGCCAGGCCGGGGGCTTGCAGAGTCCGTGAAGCCTGGCAGGGTGGGGTCAGCCACCGAA